TCTTTGGAAATTTGAGTTTGAGGCGGTTTTTATGAAAGAAAAAGTCTAGATTAAATCAGAAATTAGAATTATGTTTAAGATAACAAAATTATATACTCAACCTGATCTAAAATTATTATTATTATCTTTTTATATATTTAAATGTAATTATTACATTATCTCTCTCTATTTATTTTTTAATCGTTTCTTTATTTTGTCGAACAAGAAAATTGTTACGTTGGATCAAATCAAGATGAAACAAATTCTTACCTTATGATTCAAGACAAGTTTAAACCAATAAAACATCGGAATAAACAGAGAATAAAAGAAGCATGTTGTCACTTATTCTAATCATTTTTATCATTATTAATTTATTTATTTTACTGTATATGAAAATAAATATTAGTAAAACTTACATCATTTCACATATAATTTATATAATTTAAATTTTGAATATCTATAATTTATATAATTTATGATCTAAAAATTTAATCTTTGTTATTAATATTATTAAAGGTAAAGTACACAAATGGTCCCCTGATTATAGAACGCTACTTTGTTGAGTCCTCTAACTATTAAAAGTTACAAAATGATTTTCCGATTATAGGACATTATTTTGTTGAGTCTCTCGACTATCAAAAGTTATAAAATGATCACTTGACTATTCATTTGTTCAAAACTTGTCGTTTTCCATTAAAAAATGGTTATTGTCTGAGATGGACATTAACCTATTAACTATGATGATAAAATATGATCTCATAACTGTTTGAGATGTATTTTGTGGATCACTCTCTGTTTACATTATCCCGTTGAGTCAATGCTTAAAAACAACGGCGATGCCAATAGACTTTATTAAAATGTGGTTTTATCGTATCTTAGTCAGCAAGTTAACGTCCAGTTCAGGCAACTGTCAATTTTGAATAAAAATGACGAGTTTGAAACATATGAATAATAAAGTGGCCATTTTATAATTTGTAATCATTAGGGGACTCAGTAAAACAATATCTTACAATCGGGGGATCATTTGTATATTTTACCCTATTATTAAATATCAGTCTAATATAATTTCATCCTTATCTTATCTTGGCCACCATGGCTTAATCCAGGTTTAACCTTGGTTAACAAATGATAATATTAAAACAAAGACCAAGTTCATTTAAGATGTAGAAACCTTTTTTTTTTCACTTAGCAGACAAGAAAGCAACGTATATAGTAAGAAAGCTTTATGGGATGATCGGTGAGTTGAGCAGTGGTGGAAATGAAGTCCCCGAAATCAATGCTTTCTCGACACAACCTTATCATTCACCGATATATACCCTTTCCAGCATCGACAAATCTAATCCCTAACTTTGTTCCAAAAAGGACCCACTTCTCAAATTCGTTACATTTACTTTATTTCGACAAACATCGGTTGCAGTTTTGCATCAATGGTGGCACCTTTGACACCTGCATTTTCTCTTTCTTTCTGAACTTGCTTTAATGAATAAAGCGGGAGCATTTTTTACTTGGGATTCTTTTAGATAAGGTGTAACTAAAAGATAAAGAGCAATACACTTATAAAAGTTATCACCCTTCCTCAAAATTCCATTTGTCGTTATGATGTTTGGTGTTAGTTACCATCAATGGCAGAATCAGAATGTCGGGTTCAAATGAGGATGAGATTAAAATTTGTACTATTAATTTTATTAAGTAGTTAAAGATAAAATTTATACACATATTATCATTTGTGTTTTCGACATATAATATTCATGTGTTTTATTAATATTATGTGATCCAGATAAGAGAGATACTTTAGTTGGGGTGGTGACACGAGTTAATGTGTTAAGTTGCACCCCATGTGCGTTCCTATAGCTACGTAAAGCAGTCATTGTCAACCTCTGCTTCTCCCTCAAAAATCCCTCTTCTCTTTGTCTCTTAATGGCCAGTGAGCCAGATTAGATTTCCACTCATCAACTGTCAAATTCAGTACTCACTCAGGTACAATCCGTATGCAAATACTTTACGTCGTATATAATTATGTACGTACACAAGATTTTTTATTAGGTGAAGTGAGCTTATAGAATTCTAGAGGGAAGTCGATTTATAAAATTTTAAAAGATACATTATCAATAGAAATATATTAAAAAAATATCTAAATTATAAGAAAATTTAAAATTTTCAGGCACAATTACTTCCACTTATCCTCCTTTGATCCATCCTTGGATATAACCCATATTCCACGTTCACGTGGAGTATCTATTATAAGATAGACTACATATTTAATCATTTTTTTTTGTAATTTTGTTTTGATTAATTAATATTTTTTTTTAAATTGTACTAACATTACATTTGATTATGTTTTGGTCAATCAGTATGAAAAATTAACAATGATGTTGATGTGTCACAATAAAATAATAACACATCATCATTGAAAAAAGTTATCACATCAATAAATTTCTTTTAACGATGGGTAATATATATGATTTTAAAAAATAATTAAATGATTAAAATATAACTGCAAAAATAAATAGATGACTAAATATGTAATTTACCCTTATAGTTATTCTATAAACACAACTTTTTATTTTGGTTTTCCCTGAAGTTTTCTAAATACTCCATACATGTAATGGCAACCTTAAAAAAATTATTGTACAAATTATTATTAATATATTAAAATGTATGTAAAATTAATAAAAATCACGTGGAAATGTATATATAATAGTGATAAGTTGGAAAGCAAGGCGTCATCAATGACGACATACGGAAACCTTAAACAAAACTCCCCCCCCCCCAATAATAGATTAATAAAATAGTGAGAGTATTCACAAACTAATTCAAAATCTCAAATATTTTATTTGTAATGTGCAAAAGCCAACAATTATGAGACGATTTATAAAATTGGGATGGAGTAATTCTTATTCCTTTAGTTTGATTTCTTTTTCAATTTCATCTCGGAATATAATATTAATCTATATTGATTTTTATCTTGAATTTGTTTTATTATTATTATGACATGACATTATAAGATTGTATCACGTGGCACGCTATAAGAATGTTATATCATTAAAAGGATTAAAAATGAGAAAATTAAGTTCAAAGATTAATGTGGACCAGAAAAACTCATGGGTTAGCTTGAATGAAGTCATCAAGTTTAAGGACTAAATGTGACTTTAATCCTATTGAATTCAAATTTTGGACAGAGCAGTTAATAACTATGGTTAGTGGTTAAGGTTAAGGAGTGAAAGGCTTGGCCGAAACAAGAGAAATGGGAACAGGTGAAATGACCCAATCTAATTAAATTATGTTTAAATGGTTATTTTTATAATTAAAATTTTAAAAGTTATAAAATAGTTATTAAATTTGTCAAATTGTTACGAGATGGATACTATGATATTATAATAATTCGATACATTTAATGAACATTTTATAACAAATTCCATAAAGTTGATGATCATTTTATAACTTTTAAAAGTTCAATGACGAAAATGATCACATGTACTTAGTTTGGTGATCTTTGTGTACTTTACCCTATAAAAATCCAGAGGCCATTAGTACTCTATTGTTTATTGACTTCGATGTGGGTCAGGTTTTGGATCCCAAAACACATCAACAATTTAAAATCATTATTATTAATTCACCGCAAATCTACAATTAGTCTACTGGTAGTTATAGGGTAATCTAATATAAGATTAAGGAAAGATGTTATAAAAAATATTAATATTTTTTAATATTTTTGGTAGAACGTTACTTAAAATATAATTTTTTACAGAAAATGTTAATTTGACAACCTAAAATAAATATTTTCAATATTTTTTTTGGATAAATCAGAATTTTATATCCAAAAGAGCAGGAAACTGCTTCAAAAATACAACATGTTCTTACAAGAAACCACTACTTACAAGCAAAACAACAAAAACAAAACATCATTAATTAATACTCATTGCATACAAAGAGTGCTATTGACATAGTCATTCCTGTTAGTTTCCCTACCCCTAAGCTGGATAGCAACAGAATCTTTAATAGCAAGGAGTAAGTCTGCAAAACTTCTTGAGCATCTTTGGTAAATTCTTTTGTTCCTCTCCTCCCAAATAATATAAGTAAAGGTGGTCCAAGCTAACTTCATGATAGTGGTTAGTAAATATTTACCTTTCCAGGAAGCTGTAGCCCACGAAATGTGAGTACCCCATGAGCAGTATCCTCTGCAAATGCCATTGAAACTCAAAACAGCGTTCCATAACGAACTGGCTATAGTACAGTGTAGAAACAAGTGATCTCTAGTTTCCATCAAGTCATGACAAAACACACAAATACCATCAATTAATATTGAAACCCATTCAAATCAACCTGTCTTTAGTTGGTAGTCTATCGAGGAATGCCAATATTTTCAATATTCATTTTAACTAGGAATCCCTAATCCAATACCTAGTTTCATATGGGGGATCATAGTCACTTACTCATTATATAACACTATCATAAATTTAGGGTGAAATGAATTTATAAATTATATATTTATAAATTCTAAAATTATTAAAATAAAATTATTGGTAGAATGAAATAATTTTTTTAGCGATACTTTAAAAGAAATATAGGTAAATTGAGTCCAGTTCGATTGATATTGTTATTATTAAAACATTAAAGAGGACGTTGATTCAAGCGTGCTATGAATAGTTTATGTATTGTATTAAAAAAATCTAATTGATTCGAACTAAATAAACTTTTTTTAGCATGATATTTTTTATATACTACCTAAATTAGGTATCCAGACTTTCAGAATCCCTAAATCAAAAGATAATATATATTTTAACGTACTTGAATCTCTATCCTTGTAACAATACTTGTATCAGTCGAGTTAAGATTCAATAGATAAAATGATATACTTCATAGACTACTTTTTAAAGTCCGATCGCAACAATAATTTTAAATCAAACCTAATTTGAATAATTGAAAAATATTTTAAAAGGTAAAAAAAATATCTTAAAGTCCTACTCAACTCTATAATTAAACCATTTTGCTTCCAATCACATGGAGAGAAAGGAGGAAGAAGATCAAATGAACAAGGTGGAAGATGAAATGGCTCTTATCTCCCCATTTAACTCTGGTGCATTCTCCCAAATTGCACCTCAACAAGGTAATTTGAATTATTCATATTTATTTTTGTGTTACCATTTCTTTAAATATGAAGGTAAATATATGATATTTCAATATATATAAAACAACTTGAAATCATTTATATCGAATATATACTCGAATCAAATTCTGAAATCATTTTTTGTTATTGTTAATGACGAACAGCGGAAGCAAAGCCTCGACGGCGGCGGAAGAGGAACAAAGGAGGGGAAAACAGCCTTTTAGGGGCTAAAAAGAGGAAGCTTACCCAGGAACAAGTTGATGTCCTTGAACTTAATTTTGGTAATGAACATAAACTTGAGTCTGAAAAGAAAGACAGACTCGCTTGCGAACTCGGACTCGATCCTCGTCAAATCGCCGTTTGGTTCCAGAACCGAAGAGCTCGCTGGAAGAACAAGAAGCTCGAGGAAGAGTTTAGCAAGCTGAATTCGGTCCACGACGGCGTCGTTCTCGAGAAATGTCGTCTTGAATCAGAGGTATAAATATCTTTTACTTCCAGAAAGGAAAATAATTGATTAAAGTTTACTTTAGTTAGATGGATAAATGCAAATTAACCCAATTTTTTTTGGGTATTTTCTTTGCTGGTTTCTCGGGAACCAAGCAGGAACTAACGAGATTATCCGGCTCTTCTCTTCTGCACAATTATTTTTGCCAGCGACAGTTAAAATTCATTAATAAATTGCAGGTTATAAAGCTTAAAGAGAAGCTGTGTGAAGCACAGAAGGAAATCCAACAGCTGGGGGAGCGAGTAGATGGGTTATCGAGTAACGGTCCAAGCTTATCTATGACCATGGATGCGGCATTCCTAGGTGAATTTGGAGATGTTTTCTGCATAGCAGAGAACAGTTACATGGAGTGGATGAATCTGTTCATGTAGTTACAGTAGGAGGTTGATTTATAACCTTTGTAGATACTTATGAAGTCTGATGCTAATTAATCCTTAATATTCATGCTTTAATGTTGACCCGAATTAGAAAATATTTTAAATGTGTTACTTGACCTGAAATTAAAACAAATTTATTCGATTCAACATGACTCAAAATTTATAAACCCGCATCAACTACAAAAGTTCAAATAAGTTTTGAATAATGAAATGATACTCTTAAACTCGTCTTATTTGATATTTTCCCCACTTAATTCGGTTAAATACTCCCCCTAATATACATGGTAAAATAATTTTTGGGTAATTCTAAAACGCCTAAGAGAATAAGTAAACCCATAAAAATTGGAACATTAATTATCCTTCCCCAAATTCCCAAGCCAATCAAAACTTTCGTAACACCAGGAGGAAAATCATGCGGATAAAATGGAACATTTTTAGCAAGATTTTGACGATGACAAAGGTTATGATCATGGTTCTGTTTGCTGATAACAGGAAAGAAAAGACAGACACTACAATGAACGCATAAAGAACAGTTGATAAAAGGCGGATGAATGATCCACCTTTGTCCATGTAACAACGAGAGTGACAACCAAAATTCTAGTCGTAAAAGAATATATGAGACATAACTAGTTTATGTTGGCCATAAAGTTGCGTGATGCACCAGGAACTGCACTTAAGGTTGCTGGTCAACCGCCGATGGATATGACCTCCATAAGCACCTGCACTAAATAAGACGGGATATAAAGCCATGAGTGCACAACCAAGAGCTAGTTGAAGCTAGGGCTGGGTTCAACTCATCATTGGGCTGATATTGCTGATGGTTCCGTGGTTGACTTGAGCTATGGTTTCTGCCAATGCTACCGTTGAAGAATGGACCGATTTGTTGGGCCATCGTTTTCTTAAAAATTTAAATTTTTATATGATTTAAATATATATTTTATTAATAATTTATTATTTTAAATTTATCTTACTAACATAAAATTTCATATCTGTCTCTACTATTATCTTCTCTTTATAAGAAAACTAACGATTCATGTCTGATCCATGGGCTCAATAAATGAAAATGGAGGCAAATATTAAATGAAACAGAATTGATAGATATTTCCTTCATTTTGTGATTGATTTTTCCATATCAGCTTCATGTAAGTTTGTGTTATTTGCGAGATGAGGCACCATAGTCTAACAATAAGTACAATATAGGAGCGAAGTTAAGAATAAAATTTCGTGGTTGGATAAATTTATTAACAATAAGTACATTATATTTATAACATAGTAAACATATTAAGATAATCATCAAAATCTTAAATATATGCTACCTTCCATAAAAGTTGTGAATATGACAGATTTTGCTCGGACCGTAGAGGCTGGTATTTGGTATTTTTCATCCTGTTTTAATCTCAATATCTTCATACAGGCTAAGTATCTTTATTCCTTTTTACAATTACAATAAAATATCTTATATTATCTTACAGGTTTTCCTGAAAAAAACGTTACGGTCTTAATGAACATTAACAACGTCCATATTAATAATAAGTAAAAATAGCAGAACTCATCAGACGATTTTAGTGTCTAAAAGTAATATTATTTTTTTAAAGTTTTAAGTTTGAGTAGCTGAGTCTGCAAGATAGAAGAGATTCTGAAATTTTGACAAAATACTAGTAGATGTCTTGTCGTTAATTATATGATGTAAAGTTGTAACATTTAACTTTTTCGTCTTTTGCAATGGAACCAAGCAGGAAAATCAAGTTGGCTGTTTTAAGAAAATAAAGACCAACATTGGTGTGGCCGTGAATAGGCTCATGAATGCTATAGTGTCGATGAGCTTTATCTCAGTATTTAAGGCCATTGGAAGAGAGATATCTGTAGTGGCATGGTGGTTTTTCTTCTTTCTTTTGCCTGGAACCAAGGGGAAGACCTTGGAAGAGATTGAGACGCTCTTCAGCAACAGCACCACAAGGCATGAAAATCAAGGGTTAGAAATTCAGCCAACTACCAATAATAGTGTTCAGTAGGAGTTTTAATTAGCGTTTTGAGAGTGACATTTTAAGCAAAAACTGGCATCTTTTAGTGTTGTATTCAATGTAAAAAGGATCTTAATTTATATCCACAATCAGGATATGCCAATGCTGTATTACAGAGTTTCGGTTGAACGAGCATTATGTTCAACACATACTAATATGGATATGACACTATAACTATTGTTAGATATAATTGTACTAAAAAACAAAACAAATAAATAGAAAGACTATGATAAAGTTCATTCTTTTAAAAGTAATTTTATTTTGATTAAAATAAATTAACATAACATTTACACACTTGAATGATATTACTTTTGTAATTGGAAAAATACTTATATGAGAATCACAATATATGCATGATTTTTAGTCATATAAATCTTTACTTACGAGCCACATAATAAAACACAAAAACTATAGATTTTCCTCATAAAAGATCATAACAAATAGATTTATAAATCACTTTATCTTTTATTTGAATAAGTTAAGAATTATAAGTTCGAACTCTATAATAAAATTAATAATACATGTCATCTACACTTTTATAAATTTTTATAAAATAATTATTCTGCTGATGTGAGTTTAATTTCATTATCGATAATCCAATTTAAAACCATAATATCATAAATTATACTTTCAGAAAATTATTTTTTTAAATTTATTCAACTTTCTTTGGGATATATTGAAAATGGGTTTTATTGGCAAAACTACCGAGATAATGATTTGGAAAAACTTTAATTCCCAAAATAATGTACTCAGACTATTATTTCCTCAATGAGGTGTTTGCTACAGATAACATGCAAGGTTGGGATCTCTCGACGTTATTAGGGAAAGGGTTTAGGGTATCTCGGCGTCTTCAGCTTACATTGGTTCAAAGGATCTCTTGGCGTCTTCAACATAAGCATTTCCATGCATAAAATGGATTGTTCGGCGTCTTATATGTAAATTATATGTTGTTTGGCAGCCATGTATGTTTCAGCTTGCATTCATTCAAAGGATTTGTTGACGTCTTCAACACAGAATGTCCATGCATGAAATTGATTGCTCGACGTCTTCTATGTTCGTTTAAAGGATGTCTCGGCATCCTTGTTGAAAAAATTTCCAATTAAACTTGGATTACTCGGCGTCCTCGACGTAAGAGCAGAGAAGCTGCTGTTGAAGCTGGTGCATGTGGACGTGAGCAGAGAAGGCGCAGGAATCTTACATGCATTGGGATCTCTCGACGTCTTGTGCATGTTGTGGCAGGATCTCTCGGCGTCTTCTTCAGCCCTGGGAGTGGAGTTCTCGGCGTCTTCTTCATCAACATCATGCAAGTCCACCATGAGTTGAGTTTGGATGCCAATAATTCAATGCCAGTAATCGACTTCAATCATTCGGCTGTTGGAATGGATTTTTCATTCTCATTAATTAAGTTTGACAGCTAGGAAACCGACTCAGCATAAGGCCAAAGAAAATTGTATATAAAAGCGTACATTTTATAAATTTTTGCAAAAGCATTGGTCCCGGGATAGCATTAAACAAAACCATTAAACAGAGCATACATTTAACTTTAATGATTTAAATTTAATGATTTAATAATAATTATTTAACTTTAATAATTTAAATTTAATGATTTAATAATAATTATTTAACTTTAATGATTTAAATTTAATGATTTAATAATAATTACTTAATTTTAATTATTTAATGATTTAAATTTAATAATTTAACAATAATGATTAACTTTAATAATTTAAATTTAATAATTTAATAATAATTATTTAACTTTAATGATTTAATAATAATTATTTAACTTTAATGATTTAACTTTAATAATTTAATAATAATTACTTAACTTTAATGATTTAAATTTAATGATTTAATAATAATTACTTAATTTTAATAATTTAAATTTAATAATAATTACTTAATTTTAATGATTTAACTTTAATGATTTAATAATAATTATTTATTTAAATTTAATGATTTAATAATAATTACTTAACTTTAATAATTTAATTTTAATAATTTAATAGTAATTAGTTAACTTTAATGATTTAAATTTAATGATTTAATAATAGTAAAGATATTCGATTCAATTACTTCAATTTGATACAAATAATTCAAATAAGGATTACAACTCTTGACGGTGTCGGGGTGTTATTGAGTAATAATGTCGAGGCGCACGTCGGTTTCGTTGTGGTCGTTGCACTTGTTCAGGAGTTTGTTCATCATAACCAACCTGCTTATTCATCGAGGGCACAGGTTCCGGTGTTGTAAATATATGCCCACCACCACTATGCTCTCCCATCTGAGGAGTGTAGGGCTAAACACCAGGATCACCAACCACTTGAGTAAATAATCTTGTGTGATCAAAAGATTCTGGTGTGATATTATCCATTGCCTCTTGTTCTGCTCCACGGTGAGAAGAACTCCCACTACCACTCCCATTCCTCCTTGGTTTCACGGGTTTACCAAATTTTTTCGTATACTCTATAAATTGTCGTCTTTCTCTGTTCGTTGTCAAGAACGGCTTTCCATGTTCCCAAAAATAATTCAGGAAATTAGAACTTTGGAAGTCAAAGTCATCCGCTTCTATGGGAGTGAGCGTTGGCAAGTATGAACCCCTATTGTTCCAATGATTGATATGGTTGGCATGCCTCACTGACCAATCCTCATCGACCCTACCCTGCACTTCTAATTTGTGGAGAGCGTCATGATTATATGGAATGACTGGAATAGGTTGGTGGAAGTCGAACTGTCTCAACACTCTATCGGCAAATTGAAACTCCACAAATGCTATATGGATCAATGGTGTAACAACACACCAATATTGACAACCCTCCCAGACATGTTGCGGTACGCACGACATAATTTCTTCATCATCGTACGGCCTCCAAATAAACTATAAAATAAAATTATATAGTTATTATTTAATTAAATAATTATTAAAATCAACAATATAAATAAAGAACAATATTATAATATAAGCATAAAAAA